TTCAATGTTTTATGTTATGAGTGCTTAGTGTATATTTAGTTGATGTTATTCTTAGTTCATATCTTAGATGTTATTACTGTTTTTCTTATACATTTTATTGTTGGATGTAACTGGGACCTTGTGTACATAATTTCGCTCCACCACATGTGGTGCGAATGACAATAAAGAAACTCTGACTCTGACTCAAATCCATCAGAAATTACAGGTCCTTCTAAAAAAATTAGCATATTGTGATAAAGGTCATTATTATCCATAATGTAATGATAAAAATGAAACTTTCATATATTTCAGATTCATTGCACACCAACTGAAATATTTCAGGTCTTTAATTGTTTTAATACTGATGATTATGGCATACAGCTCATGAAAACCCAAAATGCCTGTCCCAAAAAATTAGCATATTTCATCCCACCAATGAAAGACAAGTGTTTTTAATACAAAAATTGCCAACCTTCAAATAATCATGTTCAGTTATGCACTCAATACTTGGTCAGGAATCCTTTTGCATGAATGACTGCTTCAATGCGGCGTGGCATGGAGGCAATCAGCCTGTGGCACTGCTGAGGTGTTATGGAGGCCCAGGATGCTTCGATAGCGGCCTTAAGCTCATCCAGAGTGTTGGGTCTTGCGTCTCTCAACTTTCTCTTCACAATATCCCACAGGTTCTCTATGGGGTTCAGGTCAGGAGAGTTGGCAGGCCAATTGAGCACAGTAATACCATGGTCAATAAACCATTTACCAGTGGTTTTGGCACTGTGAGCAGGTACCAGGTCGTGCTGAAAAATTAAATCTTCATCTCCATAAAGCTTTTCAGCAGATGGAAGCATGACGTGCTCCAAAATCTCCTGATAGCTAGCTGCATTGACCCTGCCCTTGATAAAACACAGTGGACCAACACCAGCAGCTGACATGGCACCCCAGACCATCACTGACTGTGGGTGCTTCACACTGGACTTCTGGCATTTTGGCATTTCCTTCTCCCCAGTCTTCCTCCAGACTCTGGCACCTTGATTTCCAAATGACATGCAAAATTTGCTTTCATCCAAAAAAAGTACTTTGGACCACTGAGCAACAGTCCAGTGTTGCTTCTCTGTAGCCCAGGTCAGGCGCTTCTGCCGCTGTTTCTGGTTCAAAAGTGGCTTGACCTGGGGAATGCGGCACCTGTAGCCCATTTCCTGCACACGCCTGTGCACGGTGGCTCTGGACGTTTCTACTTCAGACTCAGTCCACTGCTTCCGCAGGTCCCCCAAGGTCTGGAATCGGCCCTTCTCCCCAATCCTCCTCAGGGTCCGGTCACCTCTTCTCATTGTGCAGCGTTTTCTGCCACACTTTTCCCTTCCCACAGACTTCCCACTGAGGTGCCTTGATACAGCACTCTGGGAACAGCCTATTCGTTCAGCAATTTCTTTCTGTGTCTTACCCTCTTGCTTGAGGGTGTCAATGATGGCCTTCTGGACAGCAGTCAGGTCGGCAGTCTTACCCATGATTGCGGTTTTGAGTAATGAACAAGGCTGGGAGTTTTTAAAAGCCTCAGGAATCTTTTGCAGGTGTTTAGAGTTACGTCGTTGATTCAGATGGTTAGGTTAATAGCTTGTTTAGAGAACCTTTTCATGATATGCTAATTTTTTGGGACAGGCATTTTGGGTTTTCATGAGCTGTATGCCATAATCATCAGTATTAAAACAATTAAAGACCTGAAATATTTCAGTAGGTTTGCAATGAATCTGAAATATATGAAAGTTTCATCTTTATCATTACATTATGGAAAATAATGACCTTTATCACAATATGCTAATTTTTTGAGAAGGACCTGTATATGGAATATTTTTCTGACAAGAGTAAGAATAAAAAATAACAAGACTTAGTTTTAAGTCCAACAAAACCGACTAATTTTTATGCACACTTTAAATTTACGCTTTATAACTTGAGAGTGGGATGCTTAACTAAAGACAAGAGGAGGACTTACGTCCTGGAGAGTTCAGGGGTTTCATTTTTATCAGAATTCCTACAAACTATCATCTGTTTTCTTTGGTCCTAAAATGTAAAAATATCAATGAACATTAAAATTTACTCTATAATTTTAGTTTTACAATATCACCACCCCCCGACCAGGAAAACCTCCTTCCAACAAACTGGCCCACAGGCCATCAGTTGATGACAAAGCAGGTTTTGTGTCTCCGGACACATTTTATTTAGCAAGCTGAAACGGATCTCTGCAGACCCCTGATGTAAACACTCTTCTTCCCAGGTGACCTACGAGAGCATCCCCCGGAAGGAGAAGGGCAGGAGGTGCATGGTGGGTATGAATGAGCTGTCCTGGAGCCTGCAGCTGGACGAGCACCAGCTGAGTGCCTGGCACAACGGACAGCGGGAGATGCTGACCGGGCCCTCCCATCACAGCCGCATCGGCATGCTGCTGAACTACGAGGCCGGGACGCTCACTTACTACGGAGACGGACAGACACGACTCCACACCTTCCACTGCATCTTCACCCGGGAACTGTTCCCCGCCTGCTGGATAGGAGAGGGCGTCAGCGTTATGCTCTGCTCCATATGAGCAGGTGTGGAAAACTCCACTGTCCATTTCTGAACTTTTGACTTTATATTTTCCTCTGTAAAGCTACACTTTGTAGGAACGTAGACCGACTGGTAAACAGAGCGCTTTGACTTACAGCTCAGCTCTCTTCACCACAACGGACCGGCACAGAGTCTGCAATACTACAGATGTTGCACCAATCCGTTTGTCAATCTCACGCTCCATTCTTCCCTCACTCATGAACAAAACCCCGAGATACTTGAACTCCTCCACTTGAGACAGAACCTTGCCCTTGACCCGAAGAGAGCAATCCACCTTTTTCTGACTGAGGACTATGGCCTCAGATTTGGAGGTGCTGATTCTCATCCCAGCCGCTTCAAACTGCTGAGAACCGCTCCAGTGAGAGCTTAAGATCACGGCACGATGACACCAACAGGACCATTTCATCTGCAAAGAGCAGAGATGGAATCCTGAGGTCATCAACCAGAAACTCTCCACCCACTGGCTGCACTGAGAAATTTTGTCCATAAAAGTTATGAACAGAATCGGTGACAACGGGCAGCCCTGGTGGAGTCCAACTCCCACCCTGAAGGGGTCTGACTTGCTACTGGCAGTGCAAACCAAGCTCTCGCAATGCTTGTATAGGGACTGAACAGCCTGTAACAATGGTCCTCCAATTCCATACACTCGTAGTACCCCCCACAGTGTACCCAGAGGAACATGGTTGAAAACCTTCTCCAAGTCCATAAAACACATGTAGACTGGATGGGTAAACTCCCATGACCCCTCGATGACCCTAGTGAGGATAAAGAGCTGGTCCAGTGTTCCAAGGCCAGGACAGAACCCACATTGTTCCTCCTGGATCTGAGGTTCGACCAACAATCAGACTCACTTCTCCAGTACATCTGAATAGACCTTACCAGGGAGGTCAAGGAGAGTGATGCCCCTATAATTGGAGCACACCCTCCAGTCCCCCTTTTTGAAGAGGGGAACCACCACCCCAGTGTGCCAATCCAGTGGCAATGGCCCTGATGTCGACGTGATGTTGCAAAGGCGTGTCAACCAAGACAGCCCCACAACATCCAGAGCCTTAAGGAAATCAGGGTGAATCTCATCCACTCCTGGAGCCCTGCTGCCGTGGAGCTTTTTAACTATCTCGGCGACCTCAGACGTGGTTATGGATAGAACAAACCCAAAGTCCCCCGACTCTGCTTCCTTCATAGAAGATGTGCTGGTGGGATTGAGAAGCTCAGAAGTATTCCTTTCACCTCCTGACAACATCACTGGTTGAGGTCAACAGCAGCCCACCTTCACTGAACACAGTGTTGGTAAAGTGCTGCTTTCCCCTCCTCTGCCATCTGATGGTTTGCCAGAATCTCATCGGAGCCGACCGAGAGTCTCTATCCAAGGTCTCACCGAACTCCTCCCACATCCGAGCTTTTACCTCAGCAACAGCCAACGCTGCGGACCGCTTGGCCCTCCAGTACTCCTCAGCTGCCTCCGTAGTCCCACTACGTGGACATAGCCCTATCCATCTTCCCATCAATTCTGACCATCTTCCCTGTCCCTGCTGATGAAAAGCGGGCCCAAACCATGATGCTGCCACCACCATTGACAGTGGGGATGGTGTGTTCAGGGTGATGAGCTGTGTTGCTTTTACGCCAAACTTATCGTTTTGCATTGTGGCCAAACAATTTGATTTTAGTTTCATGTGACCAGAGCACCTTCTTCCACATGTTTGGTGTGTCTCCCAGGTGCTTGTGGCAAACTTTAAACAACACTTTTTATGGATATCTTTGAGAAATGGCTTTCTTCTTGCCACTCTTCCATAAAGGCCAGATTTGTGCAGTGTACGACTGATTGCTGTCCTGTAGACAGACTCTCCCACCTCAGCTGTAGATCTCTGCAGTTCATCCAGAGTGATCATGGGCCTCTTGGCTGCATCTCTGATCAGTCTTCTCCTTGTTCGAGATGAAAGTTTAGAGGGACGTCCGGGTCTTGGTAGATTTGCAGTGGTCTGATACTCCTTCCATTTCAATATGATTGCTTGCAAAGTGCTCCTTGGGATGTTTAAAGCTTGGGAAATCTTTTAGTATCCAAATCTGGCTTTAAACTTCTCCACAACAATATCTTGGACCTGCCTGGTGGTTTCCTTGGTCTTCATGATGCTCTCTGCACTTTGAACAGAACCCTGAGACTATCACAGAGCAGGTGCATTTATATGGAGACTTGATTACACACAGGTGGATTCTATTTATCATCATCAGTCAATTGGGACAACATTGGATCATTCATAGATCCTCACTGAACTTCTGGAGTGAGTTTGCTGCACTGAAAGTAAAGGGGCCGAATAATATTGCACGCCCCACTTTTCAGTTTTTTGTTAAAAAAGTTTGACACATCCAATACATTTCTTTCCACTTCACAATTGTGTCCCACTTGTTGTTGATTCTTCACAAAAAATTTAAATTTTATATCTTTATGTTTGAAGCCTGAAATGTGGCAAAAGGTTGAAAAGTTCAAGGAGGCCGAATACTTTCACAAGGCACTGTAGGTACAAACAACAGTCAGAGCCCGTCCCCCCACCTGAAGGTGCAGGGAAGCCACCCTCTCATCTACCGGGGAAAACTCCAACACACAGGCACCAAGTTGTGGTGTTAAGAGTAGACCCACACCAGCTCAGCGCCTCTTTCCATGGGCAACTCCAGAGTGGAATATGGTCCAGCCCCTCTCAAGAAGATCGGGTCTAGCCCATGCTGTGAGTCGAGGTGAGCCCAACTATATCTAGTCAGTACCTCTCAACCTCACGCACAAGATCAGTCTCATTTCCTGCAGGAGGGGCTGTATGAGTCGGGTGCATAACGCCATGGGCAGTGGCCAAAGGTGGGGGCTTTGACGCTCTGACCCTGGCTTACCAAAGCTGGCCCATGGGACATGGAACGTGACCTCTCTAGTGGGTGGTGGGTCCACAGGAAGGAAAACCCATGTTGCTCCTTCGGGCTGAGCCCGACCGGGCCCCATGGGTAGAGACCCGGTTACCAGGCGCTCACCAATGAGCCCTTCCCCCAGGCCTGGCTCCTAGGTGGCGCTCCAGTAACCCACATCTGAGCAAGGGACACTGAGCTCCTTGTTTGTTTTTGTCCATAAAAGTCTTCTGAATCGATCTTTGTGTGGCCTGTCACCTAGGATCTGCCTTGGGTGACCCTACCAGACAGCAGAGCTCCTAGGATCATTCAGGTGCACAAACTCCTCCACCATACGGCGGCGATTCAAGGAGAGGAGATTGCACCATATTATTTATTAAAGTCCACCATTGAACATGCTGAAGAACAGCCTTCAGCTGTGGTAAGTTGTAGCAGATGTTTCTGTAGGACTTGGCTCAGTTTCTCGAGGTTGTGGAGGAAGTGTAGCCCATTCATTTTGACATTGTTGCTTCAGTTTAACGCCTGCTTCTACAGAACACATTTCCTTCTTACATACTTGAATCATGAGTTGGACTGTTTTAAATTTTTTATTTTTTATTTTTATCAGTGAGGGATCTGTTGTGGGTTTTTGTGCGATTGATGTTAAATATTTTTAGACGCTGGTAAAGACCTGAACATTTTTATTATGTTCTGATACAGAAAGAATTGAGAGGATGGACTTTTTCACCAATGACTATCATTAATATAAATGCATAAATGAATTCTGACCATCAAGCTTTTCAAATGTTTAAAACTTTTTAGCCACTGGTTTGAGTTGTTTTATACTCAGAATACAAGCTTTTACTGAGCGTTGTGAACTTTTGACATGATGAGGCGCTCGAAGGTCAGGATTCTTTGGGAAAGTGAAACTGCAGATGTGGTCCAAAGGTTTAAACGTGGACTCCCGACTGGAGTATGTCCAGTGTACTGCTTTGCTCTCATGTTTACAGTTGTCTTTTGAACCCCACCAACCTGCAACTAAACAGCTGATCACAGAAATAAACACAAATCTCTTCCTCGAGTCAAAGCCATTTATTCCAGTTCAGTCCAACGCAAACATGCATCTGTTGAGCTCATGCTTCGTTTTCCTGTCGGAGCAACTTTCCACGAACTGTTCAATAAATTAGTTTAAATAAATACTGAGCTTTATTTTATTGTACATGACAGTAGCCTGATGCATAGCGTCCTAAAAGTGCAAAGAACGAGCCACAATGTGCCACAGATACAGTTCACAGATTAGTGACCACAGGAAGGAAGAGTCGAGGCGCACATCAGATTAAAACCTGAAACTGGGAGTTAGCATCACAAACACAGAAACTAAGAGCAAATGCTTGTGTGTTCATCGACGAGAAGTTTAAATTAAAAAAAAGAGTGAAAAGTGAGTAGAAGTAATGTTTTTCCACTCTTAAAAAACAGGAAGCGACTCTAGGCGCCCATTCTGCTGCATCTCTTTACAAAACCCTTTGAGTGTTCTCCGTAAAATACGTCTTCTGAAGCTTTAGAAACCAGTACTGTACACAAACGATAGAAAAATAAACCATCGGCTCGTTTTAACGAACAGGTTAGCAACTTCGTTTAACTGAATCGTGTTCAACAGTCGTAGAAAACTCGGTGAGCTGAACCTACAGCAGGAACCTACAGCTGAACCTACGGCAGGAACCTGGGGACACTCGAAAGGCCATAAATACTAAATTATGTGAGATTTAGTCTAAAAGCCTGAACGACACCTGGTCTTCGCTGCTCTCCATCAGGTTAAGGTGCTTTTGAACAGAACAGGCGACAACACACTGATACAGAGGAAGCTAAGTGGACAGAGACAGTCCAGAGGACATCCTGATGTCCACTGTAATGGAATGAGAAGACGTGGTCCAGTAGGATGGAGGACATGAGGGAGGAGGACATCAAGCAGCTTTACTGATTCTTCTTGTCTTCTGGGGGCGAGTAGGGAGGAGGTTTGTCCTGGGGAGACGGGAGACAGTTAGTGTGTGTCTAATCCACGGAGAGGCCATTTTGACCTCGTCCACAGGACCGAAGGGCCAAAAGATGAAAAACATCTCACATCACACCAAAACACACAAAAAGGATGGCCTTCATTTGTATAACACTAACATTTGTTGCTTTTTGTAAATTGTTCAGCTTTCAGTTTGTCTCACGGCTTTTAATAAAAAAAATGAATGAATGTTTCCAAATTCTTGTTTTTTATTTATTTCAAAATGTTTTGTTTTTGCAGGAGAATGTCGAGGGCTAACTTGAGATGGGTCATGGGCCACTTGTGGCCCTCGGGCCTTCTCTTACCAACATGAAATGTAACACACACACAAGCTCAGCCTCAAATATTGTCAGACATAAAGAAGCAGCAGACGGATGTCAGCGTGTTACCTGCGGCAGATACACGGGTGTAGGAGGCAGAGTGGCACAACTGGCGCTTGCTGCTGCCTCGGCTGCTTTGGCCTCCGCTGGGAAACAGAGTGGTGGGGGGGGGGGGTACCATGTTAATGCTTGTTACATGAGAGCAGGAGGTAATCAACAGATGGAAAACACTCCTGCACAAAGACACATTCAGAAGTTCACCATCATTCTAATTATATAAAGTGAGTTTCTCACATGTTCAGACAAGTTTAACTCAACAAGCAGACCACTTTAAATAACGTCTTCTTTCAGCTTTTCCTTCTTCAGGGTTCTCCACAGCGAGTCCTCCTACTCCATCGCACTCTGTCCTCACTCCAACTACCTCCATGTCCTCTCTAACTGCATCTATATATCTCCTCTTTGTCTTTGTCCTAGCAGCTGCATTTCTAACATCCTTCTACCAATATACCCACTGTCCCTCCTCTGGACATGTCCAAACCCCTGTCCCTCCTCTGGACATGTCCAAACCACTGTCCCTCCTCTGGACATGTCCAAACCCCTGTCCCTGCTCTGGACATGTCCAAACCCCTGTCCCTCCTCTGGACATGTCCAAACCACTGTCCCTCCTCTGGACATGTCCAAACCACTGTTCCTCCTCTGGACATGTCCAAACCATCTCAGTCTGGTCTCTCTAACATTATCTCCCAGTTGTTCAACCTGTGCTGTACCTCTGATGATCTCATTCCTAATCTTATCCATCCTTGTCACTCCTAAGGAGAACCTCAACATCTTCATTTCATTGGACGGCTGTGGCAGAGTGGTTAGAGCAGTCGTCCTCCAATGCGAGAGTTGGGGTTTCGAATCCACCAACAGTCACATGCCGAAGTGTCCCTGGGCAAGACACTGAACCCCTCATAGCCTCTGATGTGTGTCCCATCAGTGTATGAATGTGATCTAAAGCTCTGATTAGTCTCTTTAGAATGATTTGTTCAATTAGCTTTGTAGAGATCTAGTAGAGTGCTGTATGAATGGGTAAATGAGGACACAGATTGTTGTGTAAAGAGCTTTGAGTATCTTGATCAGATAGAAAGGCGCTATATAAGTACAGTCCATTTACCATTTTAGCATTTCTGCCACTTCCAGTTCTTTCTCCTGGAAGTCTCCAGACCATACAACACAGCTGGTCTCACCACTGTCATGTATATTTTCTTTGACCTTTGCAGACACCCTTTTGTCACAGATCACTCCTGAAACTTTTCTCCATCCACTCCATCCTGCCTGGACTCTCTTCTTCACTTCTTTACCACACTCCCCATTTTCCTGGACAGTGGACTCCAAGTCCTTGAAGTTCTGCACCTTTGTGACCTCTGCTCGTTGTAGCCTCACTGTTCCACCTGCCTCCCTCTCATTCACACATGTACTCTGTCTTACTAGGGCTGACGTTCATTCCTCTTCTTTCAAGTGCATACCTTCACCTCTCCAAGTTCTCTTCCACCTGTTCTCACCACAGATCACGTCATCTGCAAACATCATAGTCCACGGAGATTCCTGCCTGACCTCATCTGTCCATCACCAGAGCAAACAAGAAGGAGCTCAGAGCTGATCCTTGATGCACTCCCACTTCCACCTTGAAGCTATCTGTCACTCCTACAGCACATCTCACTACCTAAAATAACATGTAAAGTATATTTATATCCAAAAAAGTTCAATCTGGTCCTCTGGACATAAAAAAAAAAAAAATAAATAAATAAACGTTTCGTCTCTCATCCGAGAGACTTCCTCAGTCTGAGGTGCTGTTTTCAGCTCAGTCTCTTAAATAGCACCGTCTCAGAGTGGATCAACCAGTTTGCTGCTGACAACCAAAACCAGCTG